AATTTCATCGCGATTGGAGTCTCCTTTTAAAAGTTATCGTGTTAACGACCGGACACACTGACCGATTCTAGAGTGTACTCACTTTTTGAGTACACAAAAAGTATACTCCACTTTACGAAAATTTTCATTAAAAATTTAAAAAATCGCTAAAAATCTATAGAATTGTATGTAATTTGTTTGCATATATGCACGGTTAAGTTTCTTGGTATTTGCAACATGAGAAGATGATCACTTGGATCATCCCTTGAGCACCAGATTTCAAGTCCTCTATGTGAAATACATGTCAAACTCAAAATTAGACCGAAGCGAGAAATCGCCTTCATACTTTTTATTGAATGTTTTGCTGATATGACACATTTCAAAATAATTTTCCTCTTCTATGGCATCTGGCAAAAAAAAACATCTCCGAATCTCCTCTGTCGATTGCTGGAATTCGTAGATATCTAGCTAATGCCGTTCTCGAGTTATCTGACTTGCCACTACCTTTTTTTAATTCCGGCGCAGACATTAGCTCTTGGGTTACACAATAGTAAAATTTTATTTTTAGAACACTGAAATAGTAAGCTATCGGCACCGATGAGCAGCTGTACCAAGAAACCAAAACAGTACATACTATCAGTTACTTTGGTAGATACCCAAGGAAGCAAAAAACTAATGAAGACGGATAATAAAAAGTACATAATGTCAACAATGCCTGTCAGCTCTTGTCTGAAGTTTCCTCAGTATTTCCCATCCCTGATCATCGTCACAAGAAGGGTCATGCAAACCACGTCTTGACTAGTGCAAAATGTCGCTGAACCTCATAATGTCTCGTCCATTTATCTATGTATTCGATTCAGACTAGTCGATAAAATATAAGCAATAAAAAAATGACAAAAGTGAGCTGGAATATACAACCCGACAATATTCAATAATACCGGGATACCAAAACCTTATGATACGTCTTACAAAAAGCCTGACGTCTGTTTAAATACTCTCAAAATTAGAAACACAGTCGTTCACCAACTAATACAAACAAAAACCGATTTTAGAAAGTGCAATGAATATTGTCAAACTTCTTTCAGCAACAGTGTGAGTTAATCAGGAAAATGTTCTATGCGTGCCATGACTAGCCTAACTTTTATAATATATCGTCCGTCATTACTGATTCAGAGTATTGTTAAATTTCTTAAACTCTCGTGTCTCGTACAACTTTGTGTGACCAATTCTTAGAGTGATACAAAGAATAAGAAAAAGCAATGCAAGTAAAATTTTTCAATATTTGCCTAGCTGGGTGTGGGTGATTAGTGGAAGAAGTCTAACATTCATTCACAGTCACACTCACACTCACACCCACACCCACATTCATTCACACTCACGCCCACACCCACATTCCACCCACACCCATACCCATACCCACACACCCGAGATCTGTTTTCATCGCTGGATAGAGCTCGTCGAATTGCACTTGGAACATGAAATACTTTTGTCGGGACATTCTCATGAACGAATCAGACCCCAAAATTAGGTTTTTTTAAAATTCGTGTAATGGAAGTAGTGGGAATTTTGGTTTTTCTAGGTTACTATAACATGCGTAGAGGAGCAGTTTTCACCATTCGATGGAGCTCGTCGAGTTGTACTTGGATCTTAGGATAGCAGTTTTGGAACATTCGCCTGGGCGAATCGGCCCTAAAAGAAGTTGAATCTGGACCTAAGATATCCTACGTGATATTAAATTCGAACTTAGCTTGCTGTTTGCTATAAGTACTCCGAAGTCTTCTCTAACGGTTTATCCTTTAAAAAAAGGTTCTCATGTCTTCTAAATTTCGAAAACCCATTTTTTTCAAAGCCTACTATCTCAAAAACTGTGTTTTTTTGATTATGTTTGGTATAGTGTATCTTGATGTCTTTCAAGTTGAAATGAGTCGAGTATATTGACAATATTACTTATACCTTGCCTCCAATCCCTGCTTGCCACCTTGTTTTTCTTTTCATTTCTGCCCTTTTCTTTTACTTATTTATTTGTTCATGTGAAGAAAAAATGAAACTTATCAAGCAAAGAAATGAAATTATCTTGAAAATTGTTCACATTGAATGATACAAAGTGCATTAGATCCTTAGAGAATCAATATGATTTGACGAATTTGTCTAGTTTATCAGTCACAAGAATTGAAAGAATCCTGATGATCTTTTTTTTTTATGAATCTTACTCATGACTGTTGTTGTTATTTTTTTACCTTTCTGTCCTCCATACTCCTATGTAATTTCATCCGTTAGTAGAGACATACCGTTACTCACCGTGTGATAACGGTAATACAGAGGAAGAGTGAAGAATCAAAAGAAAGGGCAACACTTGAGAAAATGCGTCAGTTGGAAAAAACCCAGCAACTTTCATTCAGCAATTCATACGAAATACACTTGATCATATTAAATTACAACGATCATCAAACGTTGAAGGCTTAATTTGAGCGTAAGTAGATTGCTAACATCATTTAGTTTTTCTTCACTGTATTACCAAATATATATGATATTCACACATTTTTTGCGAGAAAGAATAATGATGACCGAATCCATTAATGTAGACGATGGAAAAATAGGATAAAAAAGTGTGAGTGTGCGTCTGTTTTTCACACATCCAAATCCCCCCCCCCCCCCACCAACTGCCACATACATACGCGCACACCGGCACCTAGGTTCAAACAAGGCCGCAATCTGGGTGAACCAGTGTTGAATTCTGAATTTACTAAAACTTCGAAGACACTAGGGGTCCGGAAATTCCGTCATTCTAACCTTAAATTATTATATCTTGAATATTTCTACTGAAGGAAACACGCATGGTTGTCAGTGACATTATTTCGGGTATCATCTCATAAGATTTTGAGAGGATAAATATATTATGCCTGTGAAACACTCGCAGGTTTTGTTGTGCTTGCATAGCCAAATTTTGCTTTTGTGAGCTGACTATTGAAAAACTGCAGCCGTGATTTCTATCAGAGACCCACGAGCCAGACTTGCGCCGCGTCGCGCCGTAGCTCACTCTTGCGCGCGTCGCACGCCTCTTTCGAGTTTTGTTCTGTGAATGCATTTGGCCTCGAGTGATTCATATCTTCAGTGTTCTCCAGAACGTCCTAAATCATAGGATGACATGGCATGCGCTCCGCATAAGGTTGCTTAATGTCGCATGAGCGTGCGCTAGAGCGCGAGGAGTTTCGAGTCTGACTTGCGGATCTCTAGTTTCTATAGATATCAGTAATATACACAAAAATTTACTAGGTGGTCCAGAGAATACAAGGAGACGATAGTACAAGTGTTTATAAAATACTGCGTTGAAAAACCTGAAGTATTCGAACTCTTCCACAGGAGACTTTTTCTGCAACGAGGTGGTCTGAGTGGTCTGAACCTTCTTTTTCAGTACACCACTGCTAGATATTTTAGAGGACCTACAAAAATATTTATCGAGCTTGAACACACATATCCATCTAAAATAAAGCATGAAAAATAAAGAGTCGGATCTATGTAGAAAGGACCGGAACGCATAAGGAGGTGAAGCGGCTCAGCTTGGGATTTTCAAAAGAATTATGTATTTCGATGCAGAATAAGATAACGAATCGTTTGATGCAAAATTCAATCTATTTGGAAAGCGATTCGATCACTTCCGGCGCCGATTACTATACCATAGTTTTACTTCATTGAGACGCCTGTATATTCGCCATCCAGAAATAGTAAATATAAGCTGAACTTAAGGTGAACAAATAGTGTTTCTATCGATATTTTAGGTATGTTATGAAGGTCCAGGCTTCTCAATTGCTTTCAAAATATCTTTGCGATGGACTTCCTTTTTAAGGGGTCGATGCAATTTTTGATGGACTACATGGTGGTACCCTTCTCTTGCCGATGTTTTATTGTCCAAAATTTTTCGAGAGTAAATACTGCTTAAAATAGTGGTTATTTGCCCTGCAGGCTTCGTATTTACATACAAAGTGCTTCTAAAATCGCTTTATGATGGATTTTTCTCTTAGGGGTTTGCTGCGACTTTTGATGGGCTACACGCAGATACCATTTTCCTTCTCGATATTTTATTGACCAAAATTTTCTGAAAGCAAATACTGCTTAAAATTGTGATGAAGTGGACTCGGAAGTGCGTGGGCGAGAGTGCGGTTGTGACTCTGGTTCTGGCTCTGAAGCGTGGCTGTAGGTAGTATTTGTGTTCTCTTCACTGAACCAACCACACCCATATCCATATCCACACTCACACTACACCCACACCCACACCCGCACACTCACCCCTTGACAAGGGGTGTTCCTTTAGCAAAATCTACGGCTAATAAAATGAGATTGAGAGCTTTTTGAAAGAATTTTCCATTCTTATATTTATATATGTAATCAAGGGTTGAAATATCTAACATGATCTTACACAAAGTTTACTTAAAGGTAACAGTCGCACATTTCTTTCAGAAAAGGATCAGCGAATCCATAGGAGGAGCGTTACTTGTAGCTCTATCACAACGTTTTTCTTTGTTTAAAGTTGGAAAAAATAGTCATTTTGTTTTCATTAAGAAAAATTGCAAAAAATAAAAAAAACTTTGCTATAAATAAGCTAGCTTCCTATAAAAAAATGGTAGTTACTATGGATAATAATCCATTAGTTGTTATCCAATCATTTTTCTTCTCTTTATCTTTTTCTCTCTCGTCTGCTTGCATGTATAGATAGTTATGCTTGCATACTGTTCAGCCACATTTACGTAGCATAGTTGCAAATCTTTAAGTCATGTTGTGGAAGAATTATTAATCACTGAAAATATATGAATAAAATATCTATATATATAATGTTCAGTGTGTGTGTGTGTGTTTCTCTGTGCCGGGTCAAAGGTCAAGGGTCAAAGGTCAAAGGTTAATGGTCAAATAAGGCTATAAGGGGAATGCGCCTAGGGCTATTTATTGAGGACCCACAGGCCCTCATAGGCTATTCTATGGAGGATCCATAGGCCTCATGAGCTATTATATGGAGGTACCATAGGTCCTCATAGGCTATCCTATGGAGGTATCCATAGGTCCTCATGGGTTATTATATGGAGGTACCCATAGATCCTCATGGGCTATCCTATGGAGGTATCCATAGGTCCTCATGAGCTATTGTATGGAGGTACCATAGGTCCTCATAGGCTATTCTATGGAGGTACTCATAGGTCCTCAAGGGCTTAATTATATGAAGGTACCCATAGGCCCTCAAGAGCTATTATATAGAAGTACCCATAGTTCCTCAAGGACTCTCCTATGGAGGTATCCATAGGCCCTTAAAGACTATTATATGACGGTACGATAGGTTCTCAAGGGCCGTCCTATAGGGTACCCATAGGTCCTGAAGGGTGTAAGAGAATAAAGCGATAAGGCTACAAGAGGTACAAGGGATATAAGGCTATAAGCGCATAAGGCTACATGGACTATAAAAATATGTGCGATATAAGAGTATGAGGCCGTAAGGCTTTGATCTATATACATAATTTCGCGTATCTGTATGTCTACTATTTGATGAAAAGTGAAATGTCTGAAGTCATATGTTAAACGAGAAACCAGCCGTGCAGTATGCACGGGTTCTCGCTAGTATTATTATAAACAACAAGCATTAAAATATGCCGATGTATCATCTGACACATACTAATTTGTTTTGCTTTCTTTTTTTTTATAGCTATTTTGTCTTACGGTGTTGATTAAAGTTAACTTATTAACGTTAAGAAAAAGGACATGGCATTCAATGTTGACTCTGCAGGTGCGAAGAATATGTCTATATCTTCGGAAAATTTACAAAACTTTGAAGACTTTACCATTGTTTGGCTTTATGGACATCCAATAGAACGTGAAATTTTTGCTGGTCATGGAAACTTTCTACGGGCCTTTGTTAATTCATTCAAACAGTTTGATGATGCGTCAGAATTTTTGAACTATATGTTGTCCATCAAAACCTATCGAGAAGCTCCAAAGACTTTTATAGGCCCAGCTCCTGTCAAATATGAAAATATATTTGTGGTACTTCCTAATGCTTACAATGAACGTTTAACAAAACGGATACATGATTTATCACATGTTGAACAGATTTACATCTACAATGATTGTGATGCTGAAAATTTGTGGACAAAAAAATATTTAAAAGTTCGTGGACCTTATTCTGTTGATGATTTGCAAGATATGTTTGATACTATAGCTTACGATGTTCGGTGTGCTCTAAACAATTTATTACCGATTACTATCTTTGATCGAGAGTCTACAGAATTTATTTATAAAGATTTGACACCTGAACAACTTGATTTTCTTTGGTTTCAAGTACTTCTACGAACACTTCAAGATACTCCAGTTAAACAAACAATAAAAGAAATAATTGATGAATATAAATCACATTTTACAGGCAGTATAATAAAAGAAGCACTAATGGAGGATTTTGCTAAAAGTTATTCAAAGGGAAATGCAATTCATTTTTACTCAACTAATAAGGTATGGCTGTCAACAATTTTGAACAAAGCATGTCGAATGGAAGTCATCGAAATATTATACAAATTTCGATTTGTTTTTCAAGATATTCGAACTTGTTGTGTTAAATTACAAAAAACATTCAAAGAACAAACTTTAACTGTCTATCGACAACAGTTTTTAACTATATTCGATTTAGATAAATTGAGCAAAAATATTGGTAAGTTAATTTCATTTAATAATTTTTTCTTTGCATCGACAGAAGAATATTTTGATAAAGATTTTGAAAGTCATTATGGCTCTGCATGCGTAATTTTTCAGTTCGAACTTGATAAAGAGTTAAGTATATGTTTGTTTGGATATGAGTCCAGTGACCTAGTGCTAATCAATGCAGGAAGTGTATTTCGAATTTTTACTGTAGAATTGTTGCCTAATGGCATTTGGCTAATAAAACTCATTTCAAATACATTAGTGCGTGATGATCTTCAAAAAATTATTGAGCATATAGAAAAAGAGATCAACGAAAAGATAGATTTGCAGAGTCTCGGAGCTTTCCTATTGTATAAGGGACAATATGAGAAAGCACTAAGATATCTTACTATTGTTTGTAATGAACATCCACCAGAAAGCTCTGAAGATTCTGTTATTTATCAAAATATCGGTGCAGTTTACTATAAAGTGGGTGAATATGAATTGGCTTTGAAGTATTTCCAAAAATATCTTGATCATCGTTTAAAAAATACAGCAGCAACTGATCTCTCTCTCGAAAGTATCTATGCTGATATTGCAACCATCTATAGTGAAATGAAGATGCTCGATGAAGGGTTAAAGTACTGCGATATGGTAATATCTATGCAATCAGGTGAATTAAAAGACAGTACAGATGAAGATCTTATGAGAGTTTTCATCGCGCAAGGTTCATGTTTACAAAGAAAATTTGAGTCGAAGTTAGCACAAGAATCAAATTTCAAGGCTCTTGAAATAGCTTTGCGTGTCGAGTCAGAAAATAGTCCGCTTCTTGGCGCGCTATACAATAATATAGCATCGTGTTACCTTAGTTTACGTGAATATAAATTGGCTGTTAAATATCATAAGAAAGGATTGAAAATAAAAAAGAATTATTTACCAGCGAATCATCCTTCCATCGCTACATCTTATCATAATATTGGTGTGGTCTATTTGAATCAAGGTTGGCTAATAAATGATTCTTATTTGAGACGAAATAAAATTGAAGATGCAATAGATAATTTTAAAAAGTGTCTTAATATACAGTTGCAAACCCTGCCTGAAGATCATCCTCATGTTGTTGCTACTCTACATTATTTGCAAGAAGCGAAAGAAGCTCTTGTCTTACCAGGTGCGCGAATTATTATAGGTGATACCGAGATACGTTTAGGTCATTCTCAACTTTTACAGTTTGTGCAGTCATTGAACAAGAGTACAGAGGCAACAGATCAAGGTGAAAGTGGAAATTGAATTTATTAATAAACATGCGCATTTTGTTAGAAAAGCATCATTCTTATACTAAAAGTGTGATATGCTAAGTTTTATGGAAGTATTGTGTGCTTGTAATTTTATATATTGTATGTACGCATCTTGTCGATTGTTTTGTACGCTTTGCATATGTTGTGATACATATATTCCATATTTAAAATAATGAATTCAAGAAAATTCTCCTTCATATCGTAAAGAAACATTGTCTGTTTTTTTGTAACATAAACTGTAATCTATTTAGATAAATGTATCTTTTGGCACTTACAGATCTTAGATGTAATGATTTAATTTATTATAGATTATTTTTACTTGTTTTCTTTCTCAAGTGACTGCTTCAAACAGTAAAATAAGTGCAGTTAAATTAATCAAACATATTGCTAAGTTGAACCAACATTTTTTTAAAAAAAGATAAATTGGTATTGTTGCATTTTTATGATACATGACCTGATGCAAGTAAACATAATAAACCTCAATTATCAATGTGAAGTATGATCCATCTGACTTTGCGCGAAAACAAAAAATGATACGAATGTGGCATGGTAGAGTAACACAAATGGTACACTTCAGACAGTTGTTCCTGCGACACTTACTCCCCAGATATTTGCTCTCATGTCACTCAATGTTGAACTACGCCTTTTCGTTGATGAGTTAAAGGTAATTACTTAAATAAAGGTTGCGGAGTCGAGTACATGTGAGGATGAAAGTATTCGAAAGAAGGGTCAAAAGTGAGGGTGTGGTATGTCCTGAAAGGGGAGAAGGAGTATTACGTTCATCCCGGACAAGTCTATAGTGTTGTACTGATACCAGTGTGGCTGTGTAGTGATATATCGGTGAACCGTTTTGAATTACAGGAAAATCAGATTCCTCATAAAGTGTCCAGACAGTAACTTTTACCGAGGAGCAAGTATCGTGAGAGCAAATGTCCGGGGTGCACTATTCATGGATTCGAACGACAGAAATATTGAAAATGAAAGTATATAAAAAGAAAGATCTTTCTCACCCTCAATGTGACATTTTTACCTTCACCTTCTCCTTATTATTTCAATGTTTTCACTTTTGATCAAATTCAGAATTACTATAGAGTATCGATAATAATTATTTCAATGTCATGTTTCTAAAATATGATATAAAACAAGTTAAAACCTTATTTGAACATTATAAAATTAATACTATACAAACATGTATGTTATTTTAAAATGAAGAAGCATGTAGCACGATGGGAACAGAAGTCAAAATGAATTTAATAGAAGACGTCATTAAAAAAAATACAGCTAGGCATTGAGTAAAATGTATCATGTGTGTGGGCAAAATGTTTTAAACATTCATGTTATTTATGTTTTTCTCTTAATATTTCAAGTACCACTTGTCTTACTTTCTGAATTGTAAAGAAGTTGTTAGTCAATTGATTTCAACTAGTGCAATATATTACTATACATTTGCCGATTTTAGATTAAAATATAATTCATTTCACAAAAACGATCTCTACAACCTCAAATAGAAGATAATGATATCAGAAGCTGAGTAAGGTTGTATTTGGTATAAAAACTAGTTGTTGAGAATAATAATTTGTTCTTTTCTTTAAGCATTCTTCGAATAATTGATGATCTAGAAAACAATGATGATCAAAGTGGACTAGGCACAACAACCGTCGCCACCTCAAACTCACTTCCACTTGATAAAGATCATACTGATGAAAATACCAAGCTTCCAGAAGTTTCAGAGGAATATCAGAGTAAGTTTTAGGTGTGACAGATAAAAGTTGAGCGTGTTTAGAGTATAAACGACTGTCATTTTGTAATATGATTTTTGTAACTGTAAATATAACTGAAACTCGTTAAGAAGACGCTTTCCGTTTCCTAATGCAAACCTTTTAGATTTGTATTTTTGATCTTTTTTTGCTCTATATAGGTTTCGGATTCTTGTCTGTTTATCAGATATATTTCAAGAATTAATATATAATTATAAAACTCTAATAATCCGAAAAGTAGAATATTTTTCTGAAAAGAATCAAAATTTAACATTATATCTTTGTTTTCGAAAAAGCGAGTTTCTAACAAAAATAATGGAATTCATTCGGGCCGTATAGCTCACGGTCACTCTTAAATGAGCACTGAGGAGTGCTAGTGAGCATGGGCATTTTCGTTTAAGAGTATCCTAAAAATACAATCCATTTAACTTCTTTGGACTATGACTACACACCTCACGCTTAGAACGCTCATTTCAGCCTGAGCGTGAGTTGTATACTCCTAGAATTGATGTCATTTCTCAATCAGAGTATCTTCGATTGAGTTGAAACATTTTTGATCTAATACTAGAAATTGTTTGGAGTACCTACGTTTCTTTTTTTCAAAATATGATATATTGCTATGCTCTTTACCAGAATTCACTGGAAAAGCTCTGATCAAAATAGCATGTACTTTTGAGAATGTTCTTAGGATTGTGGTGTTTTTATTCGAAAAGAAGGAAATAAAAAGAAACTAAAAGAAGTAGTAGACATCCCAAATAGAATTCAGTATCTGTAGAAACAATCTCCAGTTCTAGCAGACATATTAGCCAGGAAATTAGTTGATAACAGAAGTCACTTTTAATTCTGATGATACCTGTATCTTCTAGGAAGAAGTATCTGGAAACTTGTATCTACAAAAAATTCTACTGTACTCATTGAGATCTATTTGTTTCGCATGCTTCAAAACTTCCTAATTAGTCAGTCTCCAAAAGGCTTGCAAAGCGATGATTTTCTCAAAGAAACACATTTGTATATCATAAAGTGCATTTGTTTATGCAATACCTCTGTTAGACATATATTATGAGCTTTTATCAAAGATAAATGTCTGCTTCTGTTGAATAATTAGAAACATTGACTTACTGCAAGAATAGCAAGACGCTAATTCTTATACTTATGAGTGCGAAAAACTGTAATTTAGTAGTCTTGAAACGATAATATTGTCAGTCTTAGATACTAAACTAAACTAAACTAATATAGTCACAGAAGACAAGAAGAAGAGAAACACACTTCATCAAGGTCAACATTATGGAAGAAGTCATACACAGAAGAGAATAGATCTAGGACAGTGAAGTGTAATGGTAATGAACCATGACAGTTATGTTGTTTTTCTCTTTGCAGAATTACGCCGACGTCTACATAAGGTAGATATGAAAAATTATGAACGTATGAAAAGACGTACAGCTTTTAAATTGAGTGGAACATATAGCAAGAACGAACTTAACAAAGAAGATATTGTTATCATATCATTCAATATCAACAATCCTGAACTTAATCAAGAAACTCTTCAAAAAATTAACAATCAAGTAACAGTTCATTTAAACAAAGAAACATGTTTAGAACATGTTAAATCAATTGTTAATGAAAAAATTCTCTTTATTACATCAGTATCATCAGTAAGAGAAATTTTATCACTAATACATGACGAAGAAACACTTCATTCTGTTTTTGTGATCACGGATAATTCTGCACATAATTCTAATTTACTAAAATTACGATTTTCAAAAATAGTCGATATATTTGCACAATCATCCGAACTAATAGAAAGTCTACAAACAAATGTTCAACTCATTCCAAAACAATTGACTACTTTTAATTTTTTTAACTCAAAGCAGTCAAACTCAATTAATTTAAACAAAGATTCCGCAATATTTCTTTGGTTTCAATTATTAAAAGATGCAATTATAAAATTAAGACCACAATCGTTAGAAGATGCCATTAACGATATGGTACAAAAGTGTCAGGAATACTATCAAGGCAATCGAATTGAACAAGAAAACATTCAAAAATTCAAACAAGACTATGAAAACCGACAAAATCATTCAAATGAAGTTCCAAATTTAGCAATACACTGGTATACTAAAGCCAGCTTTGTTAATAAAATGATCAATAAAGCAATGAGAACTGAAGATATTAATCAATTATATACTTTTCGATTTTATATTGCTGATCTTTGTGCCAATGTTTCTCGACTTCATGAAGAACAAAATAATAGTAAATTCAATATTGAACTCTATCGTGGATTAAGATTATCTATTGACGAAATAAATAAATTAAAAGAGAATGTCGGAAATGCAATTTCATTAAATGGATTTCTATCAGCTTCGAAATCATTAAAAGTTGCACGTCGTTTTGCACATGGACCATCGTCTAGAAAAAATACAGAACCAGTTATAATGATATTTTCGGTTAGAACAAAAGATAAGCTGAAATCAATTAAATTCGCTGACTTATCGGATGAGAATCTAAGTGATTATCCTGAAGAAGAAGAAGTTTTGTTCGATCTTGGTTCAGTTTTTCGAGTAGAAAATGTATTGGATCCATACAATGGTGAACACGCAATTATTATGGTAGCAACGGATATCGGAACACAGTTAGTCGATCAACATCTTAAACTAAGTGAGCAGTCAATAAAAGAAGATGGTATAAACATTGTCTTTGGAAGTCTTCTTTTCAAAAGTGGACAACATGATAAAGCTCTTCAGTACTTTGAAACACTATTAATATCCGAAAAAGAAAATGATGCTGCTGTCTATGCTAAAATTGGTGCATATTATTCATGGAAAAACGAATGCACGAAAGCAATATCATTTTTTCAACGCTCATTTGATTTGTATATGGATGAAAGGCCGCCTAATGTTGCTAAAGCGTCACTGATTATGCATGAAATAGGAAATAATTATATAATAGCTGATATGCATTCGTTAGGATTTGCTTGTATTAAACGAGCTGCTGAAATGTATAAATCCGTATTTCCGGCTGATCATTTTCAGAATATTATTGCACTTAAAGATATTGGAATATGTTATATACTGGAGAAGAATTATGATGAAGCTAAATATTATATCGAGAAAGCTTTAGAAATGTGTAATCGTATTTTACCGACTGATCATGATGAAACAGCTGCTTGTATAGGAAACATGGGTAGTATATATCATAAGCAAAATGAATTAGATATGGCTTTAGATTATTATATGAAAGCTTTAAAAATGTTTAGAAAGGTATTGCCTTCTGACCATCATGATATCTCGTCAACGCTTTACAATATAGCCAGTATTTATAAGTCGCAAGGAAAATATACGGAAGCATTGGAATGCTACAAAGAATCTCTAAAGATAGCCAAACATTTTTGGCCTATTCATCATCCGTGGTTAGTGCTTATATCAACGAGAATGAGCGAATTAGCTAGTTTACTGCATTTTCAAAAACGCGTGGCTGATAGCATGAAAATTCATCCACATTTGGTCAATTACCTATCAAAAAAACTTATTGAGAAAGAAAATACCAAGAAAAAAGATACCGATGATGATGACTCTGACATATCGGACGATTGACATTGATCTACAAAGTAATATCAACACTACCTCTTGTTGTTCAAAAAACTTCTGTGCTATTATAGAATTAACATGAACCAAAACGGTTTGTATCGCAACGGATAAAGTTTAATCTATGAACTTCTAAAATTTATTCAATTGATAATTTTTTTTTCTTCATTGTCAATTTGTAATTAATCGTGTTTTTTTTTGAAGAGAAAGAAGTTTTTTTTCTTTCATTTAATATCTTTTTGCCATATACGCTAACAAGAAGGAGAATAGTTAACTATCACATCTTGTACAGACACAATTTTTATGTAGAGAATAAGATATTATCAATGCACTATGATCTCAGCATGAATCTTCTTCTTTCGATTATCCAAACTAGAAAAAAAAACTTCAATACCTTGAAATAAAAATATTAGCGAAGTTAGCAGTCGATTCGAGTTCGTTTGAAAAACAATTTACACTTGTCAGACTTAGTTCATTCAATGGAGCTTGATAAGTTCTATTGAATGATATATATTCCATCCGAATGAAAATAAAACTATTCTGATTTTTTTATTAGGAAACCTGAAAAGTCAGGAATCGCGTTCAGAGCTCGTGTTTCTTCTGACGATTCGCTCTATGACTTGAGTCATTTTGTGAGACACGATTCATTCGCTAAAGTTCAATGAATTCTATTAAATGGTGTATGTTTGGTTCCAATGAAAATAAAATTTCAATGACTAGAATTCACAGAAAACTATAGAACTCCGATTTCGGCTAGTATGTTCTATGATGACTTGATCCACAATCTGAGTCACTTATGACACTTACGGAGGAATATTTTCAGGTCTTGGAACGTTTTTCAGTTGGGGTTACGCGCATCTTATTCTCTGAACTGAATGGAGAGTCATCTGAAATAAAATACGTTTGTAGGGTGTGGGGGTGGGGGTGGGGTGGGGGTGGGAGTGTAGGTGTGTGGGTGGGTGTGGGTGTGGGTGTGGGTGTGGGTGGCTGAGGGTGTGGGTGTGGCTAGGGTGTGGGTGGTGTGTGGGTTGTGGATATTTGTCAAATATCTTATCAGATACCCGTACACCCCCACACCCACACCCTCTTTTATTACTTATTGACAAAATATATTGTATTAGTCCAAAAATCAGATAACATTATCGTTTTATCTATGTTAATGTATAAACTATCGTTTAAATAACGATATTAAGCACGCATAACTTGGTTATTTCCAACAAACACAATGTCCAATAGGATTCCTCGAAAAATATTTCTTTAC